TCTCAGTCCCAGGGCAAGGAGGATTACTAGTATATCAGAGTTTGTGACTGCAGGGGAGCTGAGACCCTGGTCACAGTTCCAGGATAGAAAGAGTGCTTGTAATCACTCATAGACCAGAGCACAGGCCAGGAGAGTAGTTAACACACCTCTACCTAGATCGTACAGCCTTGGAAAAACTAAAAATTTATAGGTCCTCAGAATTATTTCTGAAAACAACTGCACAAAAAACCTGAAGCTCAGGACAGGGCCCCCTCCACTCTGGAAGCAGAGCCCCACTTTAGCATAGAATTAAAAGTCAAGAAATAGCCTGGGAAAATGAGCAAAGAGCAGAAAAAGATCCTGAATATATAAATTTAGTATGGTCACAGGGAAGATCAAAACAGACTCAGAAGAAGACAACAAAGTCAAAACTGCTACATCCAAGCCTCAAAGAAAAATATGAATTGGCCTCAGGCCATAGAATAATTCAAAAAAGGATATGAAAAATCAAGTAAGAGAGGTACAGGGAAAATGGGGAAGAGAAATGAGAGTGATGCAAGAAAAACATCAAAAAAGAGTCAACAGCTCAGTAAAGGAGGTACAAAAAGTACTGAAGAAAACAAACAGAATAGGCCAAATGGTAAAAGAGGTACAAAAATCTAGTGAAGAGAAGAATGCCTTAAAAAACAGAATTGATCTAATGGAAAAGGATATACAAAAAGTCACTGCAGAGAAAAACTCCTTAAAAAGCAAGGGGGAAATTATGTTTTTATATGTGCAAGTAGAGAGAAAGAACATGTAAGGAAGAGTTGAATAATGCCTGAATGGGATATTTCCATCAGAGGTGTACGCAGATGAATGCAACCTCAGAACATTGCCCTTTTTAAGACTAATTGAGGAGGGGAGTAAGGCAAAGAGGTGATGTAATGAACAGACCTAAGTTTTAATCCTGCATCAGATATTTACTAGCTATATAATCTTTGGCAAGTCATTTAACTATTTTAGCCTTAGTTTCCTAATCTGCAAAATTGGGAAACAATTGCACCTATTTCACAGGATTGTGGTAAGGATCAAGTGAGATAATATCTGTAGTGTTTTATAAAATATTAAATTGTTATATGAATGTTTGCTGTTACTCTATGTGGGATGTAAGAAGGTCAAGACATTGGAAAGATTAGATGACATTGGCTATGTAACTTTGCTTCTTTCATAATATTGTTTAGGGCTGTTATTTACTTGAAGTTAAATCAATTAATTTCTGAATAAACAGAAATAAAAATCAAGATCAGAGTATTCTTTAAATTTTCTGATGTCACTCACCTAAAAATAAAGAATAATTTTCACCTTGATAAAGAGTTTGTGCTTTTACTGAACATACATTACTAAAACATGCATTAATTTCATGAGACAAATATATCAAAAACAAATGTTGCCATCTAATGGAAAACTACAGTATATCAGAAATTTAATTCTTATTGTACTTTTATTAGGTTATGCTTTTTCAGATGTCCTCATTTTATATACCAGAAACCTTGAGAGTGTGACCTTAGAATTCTCATTTCCAGAAACATACATCTTATATTGAAATAAGCAAAAAAAATCTCAAGGAAAGGAGGTCACATGTTTAAAACTCAGAGTCTAAATGTAGCAGCTCCAGACTAATGCAAGAAGAAAAAATATCCTCCATATGATCTAGTTCTGGCACCAAAGGATGCAAGTTTTTTGTTGTTTTTTTGGGGGGGGCGAGGAATGGAGCGTTTATTAATGATGATGACATGATGTAAAGAAATATCATAGAACTGGTGTTGTGTAGAGGATAGGACACTGGACTTGGAAGTCAGGATGGATAATCTGCTTTCTGTGTTACAATTATACATCACAGAAGATGACAGAGAAAAGTCAGGAAGTTGCCCGAGTTCTCTCCAGTTTCCCTCTGAAGTGTTAAATCAGCCCCTAAATGAGTGACAGAACCTACAAAAAAGATGGAGAGAAACAATTTTCCAGCTTAAGATAACTTAGAAAGACCTCAGGAAAGGTCTGTCTCACTTGAGCAAAAGGAGAGTGCAACACAGTGCAGCAGTGTCCAGCAAGCCAGTGGGAAGCTAAGCATAGATCAACAACTGAGACCCCCCAGTCCTGGATCAGCAGGCCAGTGGCATAGCAGGCCAGTTGTGAGGCCTCCAGCTCAGCACAGAAGGCAAATTGCTAGCCCCAGAACCCAGGCAGCAATAGGCATGACTAGGTCAGGTCACCCCAACTCAGGGAGCAAGCCAAAAGTACCTGAGGCCCCAATGCATAAAACCAGTGACCAGGCCCCTGGCACCCAGCACAAGAAGCTTGGGACAGTGGCCCCTGTGTCCCAGGAATTTTAAATTTTATTTTAATTTAAATTTTAAAGGCAATAAAAAAAGCTAACAAATGAGCAAGAAAAAGTGCCTTGACCATAGAAAGCTACTATGGTCACATGGAATATCAAAACACAAACTTGGAAGAAGATAACAATGTCAAAATGCCTACATGTGAAAACTCAAAGGGGAATATGAATTGTTCTCAAGCCCCAAAAGCCTTTTTGGAAGAGTTCAGAAAGGATCTTAGAAGTCAAATAAGAGAAGCATAAGAAAAATTTGGAAAAGAAATGGGATGTATGCAAGAGAGAGTCAACAGCTTGGAAAAGGAAGGACAAAAATTGACTGAAGAAAACAATTCCTAAAAAAATACAACTGGCCTAATGGAGGAAAAAAACACTGAAGAAAACAACTCGCTAAAAAGTAGAATTGGCCAAATGGAAAAGGAGGTACAAAAGCTAAGTGAAGAAAAATAATTCCTTAAAAATTAGAATTGGGCAAATGGAAGCTAATGCCTCTATGAGACATCAAGAAGCAGTCAAAAGAATAAAACAATAGAAGATACCTCATTGGAAAAACAACTGACCTGGGAAATAGATCCAGGAGAGATAATTTAAGAATTATTGGACTACCTAAAAGTCATGATCAATTAAAAAAAAAAAAGAGCCTGGACAGCATCTTTCAAGAAATTATCAAGGAAAACTGCCCTGATATCCTAGAACAAGAGAGGTAAAATAGTCATTGAAAGAATCTACCAATCACTTTCTGAAAGAAATCCCAAAATAAAAACTCCAGGGATTATTGTAGCCAAATTCCAGAATTATCAGGTCACAGAGAAAATACTGCAAGCAACCAGAAAGAAACAATTCAAAGGTCAAGGAGTCATTGTCAACATTACACAGGACTTAGCAGCTTCTACATTAAAGGAGGGCTTGGAACATGATATTCTGGAAGACAAAGGAGCTTGGATTACAACCAAGAATCAGCTACCCAGTAAAATTGAGCATATTCTTTCAGGGGAAAAGATGGATATTCAATGAAATAAGGGATTTTCAAACTTTCCTCGTGAAAAGACCAGAGCTGAATAGAAAATTCAATCTTCAAATACAAGACTCAAGAGAAGAATAAAAAGAGAAGCATAAAAAGTATAAATAGGAAAGAAAAAAAAAAACATGTTCAATAAGATTAAACTGTTTGCATACCTACATGGGAAGATGATATTTGCAACTCTTGAGAATGTATCTTTTTTAGGACAGTGAGAAAGGATGTACATAGACAGAGGGTATATAAGTATCTTTACATGTAATTGGAAAAAATAAAATACTATTTCGTGGGAAAAATAGAAGAGTGTTTTATAATTGTGTTCATACAGTTCCTGGGTTTGTCTTGGCAGGCAGACTCCCAAGTATTTTATATTGTTTACAGTTGTTTTAAATGGAATTTCTCTTTCTATCTCTTGCTACTGTATTTGTTGGTCATATAAAGAAAAGCTGATGATATTTGTGGGTTTATCTTATATCCTGCAACTTTGCTAAAGTTGTTAATTATTTCAAATAATTTTTTACTTGATTCTCAAAATCTTATAAAAGTAAAAGTTGAAAAATTTTACATGTAATTGGAAAAAATAAAATACTATTAAGTGGGAATAAAAAAATTCCACATCAGATACTTATTTATCACTATGACTCTATGGAAGGCTTTCAATACTTCGGAGTAAAAGTTTCCTCCTCTCTAACCTAAGTGGGTTGAGCTCAGTGAACTCTAAGGTCCCTTCAAGTTCTCAATTTAGAATTGATTTACATCGTCTGCATGATCCTATGATATACTCCCTTTACTCCTTCTAGTAAATTACAGAATTGAACTTTCTCCCCTCAAGTTTCAATTTTTTCACTCTAAACGTCAGTCTGATACATTGTAATATCAAAGCATGTGTTTGGATCAGATAGTGCGGAAGAGCAAAAAAGAATAAAAGTAGTTTTCTCATTCTTTATCCCCCTTGTAACTTTCTTTCCATTCTTTGTCTTTTGTGTTACTCTCTTACTCTCAGTTCTATTTGTGGGGGGAAGAAAGTGGGAAAAGAGGAGAGGCACAGACACTGAAGACTGAGGCTAGCACTCTTAAATGTCTTTCCCTTTATTTCCTTCTTCCTTTAACCAGGCCTATGGCCAATCAATTTTGTGTCACGTTGTTTTGTCGGGAAAAGAACTATGATGAAATGAAAAATCTTGGCATCCTTCAGAAAAAAAAAAAGACAAGGGGCAGCTAGATGATACAGTGGATAAAGCTCTAGCCTTAAAGTCAGGAAGACCTGAGTTCAAATTTGGCCTCAGACCCTTGACACTTACTAGCTGTGTGACCCTGGGCAAGTCACTTAACTGCAACCACCTCACCAAAAAAAAAAAAAAAAAAGACAAGCTGCTTCTTCCAACAAGGCTCATTGATCTCATTTTATGTACTGTGGAGCACTTTCTAGTCACCTAATTTTTGTCATTGACCGAGCAGACAAAATCAATCAATTATTCAACTATTTATTATGGATCTATTATACAAAGCAATGTGCTAGGCACTGGGGATGCAAATAAAAAGAATGAAATAATCTGTACTCTCAAAGAGTTTACATGTAATAACTTGCATAAATTTACTTCCTGGTAATACTACATACTGAACAGTCTACTATTAGAACCAATTGTTCTTTGTGACTTTTCTCAAGGAATCTTTTACATCCTTATTCCTGAAGCTGTAGATCATGGGATTCAGCATTGGGTTCACTATGGTATAAAACACTGATGCCACCTTCTCCTGAGAATTGTTGTCACCAGATGATGGCTTACAATACATGAAGATTACGGAACCATAGAATACAGCAACAACTGCAACATGGGAGCCACAAGTCTTAAAGGCTTTAGCCCTACCTTCAGCAGAGTGGACTTGCAGGATGTTTGAAAGGATGAAAGCATAAGAGATAAAAATGGACAGGGTTGTCAGAAATACATTGATTCCAGCATAAATCACTAAAAGAAATTCATTGATGTGGGTGTTTGAACAAGAGAGCTTCAAGAGGGGAAGGATATCACAAAAGTAATGGTCGATGACCTTACCTCTGCAGAAGGTTAGGTCAGCCAAGAAGCTTGTATGGATAATGGCCCCACATACCCCAATGATATGCACTCCAGCTACTAGTAGGAAGCATACCCTCTGAGACATGGTGATGTGGTAAAGTAAAGGGTGACAGATGGCAACATAACGATCATAAGCCATGGCTGCCAGCATGTAGCACTCAGAAACAGCAAAATAACCAAAGAAAAAAAATTGAGTTAAACAGCCTGGAAAAGAGATAATGTTTTCTTCTGATACAAAGTTCACCATCATTTTGGGAATAATGACAGAGGAATAGCAGAGATCTATGAAGGACAGGTTCCTGAGGAAATAATACATGGGGGTGTGAAGCTGAGAGCTGATCTTGATTAACAGAACCAAGCCCAGGTTTCCTGCCGTGGATAAAATGTAGACTCCAAAGACCAAGAGGAACAGGGGAAGTTGGAGCTCTGGTTCATCTGTTAATCCCATGAGGATAAACTCAGTGACCATAGAATGATTTCCTACAGTCATCATACCTTTAAAATTAAACTGGAAACCTGTGAGGAGAAGAAAGAAGAGTCCATTAGGTACAGAGTTTTTTGGTTTTTTTTTTTGCCAAACTTTTCTAATAGAAGATTATGTGTTATTTCTTCATGTAGCAGTAAGTTAAAGAACTACAGGTATTAATGAGTTGAAAATAAAATACATTTATAAAATTAGATCATAAATAAATGTACACATTATAAATATAAATATATATATAAATTTATAAAATAATATATGTATATATATTTTTAGAGTCAAGCACAAAATGTGAATGTTCAACAGCCTTGCGGGGTGGAGTGGGAGGGGAGGTTCTTATATAGCTGTGATGGATTGAAGGTGAAGGAGAATTCTCTTGACCTTTATGTAGAGGTATACCTGTCGAGGGAGAGGGGGTGATGTTTATGGACCAAAGATAGGAGATCAAACTAAAAGTACAGATATTTATTAGCCAGCTAAAGAATCTGCTCTTACTGATAGCAAGTTCAGAGTGATATAGTTTTTTTTAATAACATTTCAGATCTACTTAGCATATACTGCCTTCTGCAACAACTTAAGATAAAAAAGTAAAGCATTTCACAGGAACAGGAGGAATAGAAAAAGGGGGAAATCAACCAAGGGAAAAAATGGGAGCATTTGGAATTCAAGATTTAATATCAAAATAAAAAACATATTCCAAGGCAAGGGACAAGGAGAGGAGACCAAGTACTTTTACAATTAGGAAAGCTGTCATTTTAGACAAATCTTTAGGATCTTGTATCCATGGTTAGCAACTAGTTGTTACAACAGTGGATGAAAATACTCACTTTATCATGTCCATGCATAGGGTTTTGGCACTTTTAAATATTAGACCACCAGGTAGTTGGGGGATTTCTATATTATTAGTTCATTGAGATATCACAAAATTATTGTGGTTCCTATTTTTCCCCACATTCCTCTCTTTGATATTTATTAAGAAGTATCATTGTCTCTTATATTCTATAGCACGTTCATTAAGTTTTTAAGTTCCTCTGTTTGCCCTTGTCCTCTGGCAGTTTCCTTAACAATCAGCATTTTTTTTTCTTGCTAGACAGGAATAATTTTTACTCCCTTGCACATCTACAGTAAAGCAACTGGTTTTGCAGTAAAATAGGAAGTTTGATCCAATGAAGCTTATGGCAGTGATAAAACAAAAAGATTTAGATAACAAATCATGTGCCATCCAAAATATTCTGTTGAAAAAGTAAATAGCAAGCATCAATCAATCATACTGAAATATAACTAAGATTCAATAAAGAAAGCAAGCTTATCAAGACTAGAGGGTCTTTTCCTCCATAGTTTTCAGTGCTATTATCTTTTACAGTATCAACCATTTGGCAAAAATATCCACACTTAGAATGGGGGCTTGAATTTCCAAAGTAGCATTTTTATGGCTCATTATTAACAGTAATTATACAATGAACTGGGGAGTACAGGGGGAAATGAATAAGCATTTATGTAGCACCTACTATGTGCCAGTCACTGTGCCAAGCAAGTTTTTAAAATACTATCTTATTTGATCTAGGACAAGGAGGACCTGCATTTAAACTTCCAGTTTTGTCTTAAATCTGGCCTTAAAGTCCCTTTCCAAGAGGATCAGGGTTTTCTAAGAGATAACATTTTTAAACATAACTATACAATCAGGAATACAGACAGCAACAAGGCGAGTATATCAATGTCCTTTTAGGCAGCAGGTATCTTGTTCCACTCTGTTGAGTTTAACTGTCTACTTTATGATTTCATTTGCTTCAGGAAAACATTTTTCTTTTTGTAATTCTGAGTCAAAAGAGTCTGCCATGCACCACTGTCTATAAACTTTTCAGCTTAACCTAATAAGACTGAGATAGGCCATTTCTTCTTATTTCTATGGCAGATTTACAGAAGTATCTGCCCATCCCCAATAGATCCACTTGCCATATTCTAGGTCATGCCTCACTCACTGTATATTTCATAGGCAATGCTATTCAAACCTGTTAATGATAAGACTTAGTATAAGTTCTTAAAACCTGACAAAATTGAATCATATTGGCCTTCCATTAATTATTTCCTGTGATGAAAAGCTTATGGTGTTAAACTTATAATCAGTCACCAGGGGATATAGGATAAATAGCAGACCAAGGTACTTCTAACTCATCTGAAAGTTTTGAGAGTTTCAATTTTCATGTACCATTTGATCTTTCTACTTTAACAAAACCTTGTAGTTTATAGGTAAGAGGAAAAAATGTTTTAAAAGATCCTTGATAACCTAACCTGTAAAATAGGTCCTTCTGTTATTTGATCTTATGAGATACTTCAAAGAAGAAAACATGACTTAAGAATTTCTTTACAACTAAAGAAATTTTATATGTGAAAGCCTTAATTCAACTTGAGAACCTATAGAAGGAAGGAAACAAGAAGTTATTAAGTATCAACTATGTACCAGACACTTCATGATTATTATCTTACTTGATCCTCACAACAACCCTGAGAGGTAGATACTATTAATATCCTCATTTTACCTTTGAGAAAATTGAAGCAGACAGAGGTTAAATGACTTTATACAGCTAGTAAAGGTCAGAGGCAGGATTTGAACTCAGATCTTTCTGACTCCAGGTCCAGTGCTCTATTCACTGTATCACTTAACTGCCTAAAGAATTACTAAACCATATTCAAAGCCCATGTATTTAGGCATTAAAATTCATCTTGTGGATATTCAAATGGACCTGAAGATTTATTACCTTGCTCTTCCTTTTTCAGTCTTGTTACCTGTTACCTCAAGGATCAAATTTAAAATATATAACTTAGTATTATCATCTTCACTTGGCCTCTTGTTAACATTTTCATAGACACAACAGAAGTTCTCAGTCTCCTAATATAATTGCAGCTATCATGAGTCCTTTAAGTATATTCTGTACCTATCAGAAAAGATTTGGAAGCCAACCACATATATCTTAATCTGATCTTATCGCCTTTCTCAAAGTAAGGTTTCCCACCAAGAATCACGGTTTTTTATATCTTTATCGTTTCCCTCCTTTGAGGATATATTTTATCTTCCTATCATGGGGGGTAAGTGTTATTCAGACAGAAGGAATGTGAGGCTATAATGACATAATCTTATCCTAAATATATAACTAATAAACCCATGAGAAAGGGTATGGCAAGTCCAAGAACTAATTCATCCTAGTTTCCTAGGTTAGGATGTTGAGACAAGCAATGGCCACAAAGTCCAAAGAGTAAACACAGGGTTCTTTATCCCCGCATCCTCATCATAGCAGGCTTAGTGATGCTAGGTGACTGCAATAGAAGGTTCATTATAGAACTTTTGCAATTCTTCCACAATGGTCAGGGAAATATGCTGTGAAAAGAGAAGGAAAGATATGGTTTTAATATTAGCAAGATAATTCTATTGGTACTAAGCCTAAAGGCACAGACTGATCTATCATAGGTAAAACAGGATAAAATTATTTCAGTTATGTTTAATTTCAAATAAAAGTAATAAAAAACATTTTGGAACAGCCAATCACACAACAGAGTTACACATTTTTCAAAAGGTCTCATAGAAGTCTTACAATCTAACAGGTGAGAAACCTCCCTGTTCAAAAAAGGAAATAGAACAGTGAGAAAATTGAGTCAGGATAATTCTGTCATTTCTTTCATAAAGCTTTCTTTTCAACCTTCCCAGACATCTATGTGCATCTTCATGATTTAGCATTTGGATATGACACTCCCTGCGAGTAACACTTGGCATTTACCTTTGAATGGAAGTGCTGGCTTAACAATTCAAATAGGTATACCTGGATTCAGTACACAGAGCAAATCAGATTACAGTCCTCCAAAATTCTATTTTTCATAGAAAGTTCCACTGCTTATAGCTTATGGGATGATACAACTATTCCTCTTATCAAAAGCAAAATCAGTAAGTTCACAATAAATATTAGTAAAAAGAAAACAAAACATATATTCTTAGTTTTTATTAAGTACTTACAAAGTCTTTCCAAAAGCTTTCAGTTTTTTCCCCTAGTTTGATACAGCCTGGTGCAAATATCAATCATTGGAAATTAAGAAAATTATCACATTCTGGGATTTTCTTTTGTTCCTCCAAATGAATTTCATTATTTTTTTTCAGTTCTATAAAATAATTCTTTGGTAGTTCGATTGGTATGGCATTGAATAAATAAATTAATATAGGCATTATTGTCATTTTTGTTATATTGGCTTTCTCTATCCATGAGTAATTAATGTTTCTCCAATTGTTTAGAATGCATGATAGTTCACTCAAAACCCAGAAGGACACTGGTTATGGTTAGCCCAGAGAGTTTATGTACTACACGTAAATACCTAGGGGAAAAAAGAAGTAAAATCTTTTAAACTGGAATCTGTGATCCAAAGTTTACTCAAAGATGTAATTCTGACATATACCAAATGAGGTACATTCTATACAACTAGTTTTCATGGATTTCATATCAAGTAGTCAGACAATTTATCTTAAAATCACTTCTAGAGTATAAGGAATTCTGTAATAGAAACTTTTTAAGCCATTTCCCCCATTTGGTTATAAATGTGTATGTGTTGTCTTAGTTCTTCTATAAATCAATTTACTGTGTTAGAACTTTCAAGGCTCTTATTATCTGCATATATTTTTGAATTTTCATCTTTCACAGAGTTGATAAGATTTTATGACCTTGCCTAGGTTGAAAATGCAGAAAGTTTGGAAAGTTCTCATAGAACTTCACAGATACTGAGACTTTTTCCTAAGGTCTTTCTTGTTTTTCCCAAACACCAATATTTTATGTGTATATAAATAATTCACACACATGCATGTAAACATGGGTACACACATATATGTATATATACATGTATATATCATAAACACACACAAAAATTTCTGCAAATGGAGAAATGATCTCCTCCTCCTCCTCCTCCTCCTTCTTCTTTATCTCTTTCTCTTCAGTACTAACATTGGGAGCATTAGGAACATAGAGATGAAACTATATTCT